TCGTATTCTCCACATTTAGAGCTGGGAAGTCCTCTTCCATGGCTTCCAAAACAGCAAACCTGGAGTTCGACCTGGTGGCTCGCCCCATCGGTACCTCTGCAGCTCCCTTATTATTTTTCCCCATCACCGAGGCGTAGACAGACCGACCTAGAAGGAATCGTCGTTACCTGTTAACGAACACTCCACTCCAGGGAGGTCGCACCAGGCTGACGACTCGCACAAACAGGGCAGAATCCCAGAATCGTGTTCACGACGAACAAAATCGCAGAAAAAAACCTAAACAAAAACAGAAATTTCTTCACAATAACTCCCTCAAAACTCTTCCAATCCCAAATCCAAGGTCGGAAGTGGGCTCAGAGTCAGATATCGGCTAGGAAATGTTAACCACGACCTGCAAATTCCATAAATCCATGAAGCCGTACCAGTGGACGAACTGCGAATTCCCTCCGGCGAAGGGTTCTCAGCCGAATTCCTTTCAACATTAGGAAACGGTTGTTTTGTGATCTTAGTAAGCATGCAAGTCCTACACTTATCATCATTAGTATCAAAAGCCGAAATTAAATCATCTTTAGACATTTCATGCATTTTTCTAAAATTAACGTGAGCTAATCTAGCATGCCAAATCATACAATCATTAATGGAAGATGCCACAAAAACAGAATTATCACAAGAAATTAATTTATTCACAACATTCAAACGAAACATGCGATTTGATAAATATCCAAAACCAACAAACACACCACCCTTGGACAGAATATATTTATCGGATTCAATCACTTGTTTGAACCCTAAATTATTCAACATACTTCCCGAAACAAGATTCTTTCGAATCTTCAGTACATACAAAACATCAAACAACGTAATTGTTTTTCCAGAAGTAAATTCTAAAACAACTACACCCTTTCCCAAGATAGGCACCATTGACTCGTCTCCCATGCGTAAGAACGAACCGACCTCCACTGGTTCTAGGTCTTCAAACCATCCTTTATCCTTACACACATGGCTCATAGCCCCCGAGTCAATCCACCATGCACAGTCATCATCCTGTACATAAAAAGATTTTGGTAAATACATAATTCTGGGCAGAATTATCAAAGTTAGTCAGGAACTAACCTCCTTTCTAGGGAACCAGGTCCTTAGACCGTTCCTATCCACTGCCACTCGTTCCAACGCCATTCTTGTTCAGTTTCACACGGCAATCACGCTTGACATGTCCAACCTTTTGACACTTTCAACAAACCAAACCTTTCGGTTTCTTGTTGGGTTTGTCATGGTCTTCATACTTGCGCTTTTTGCCTTTCTCCTTATCTTTCGGGTTAGATTTATTATCCTCAACCAAGTGAACATGAGCCAGCCTAGATTCAACTTCACCCATAATTTGGTCATTCTCTTGCACACGAAGATTCTCCTCAATGCCCAAGTGACTCCCAAGTTGAACCAATGACAGTTCCTCATCTCGATGTTTTAAAGAATGTTTAAAATCCTTCCAAGAGGGTGGAAGTTTGTCAATTATACTAGACACGACATAGGACTCATCAACACCTATCTTGTGGAGTTTAAATTGACCAAGAACACGAAGGAGTTCATTGTATTGTTCCATAACCGGCCTTGAGTCAACAATTTTATAATTATTAAAATCACTCACCAAGAACTTCTTACTAGAAGCATCCTCGTCGATGTATTTTGACTCAAGAGAATTCCACAATTCCTTCGCACTCTCAACGTTTTGGTAAATATCAAATAACACATCGGACATACCGTTAAGAATGTGCCCTCTACATATGTAGTCATCATTCTCCCACTTGTTACGCCTCCTAGTTTGTTCTAAGGTTTTGTCCTCCATCACTTCCGGCATCAGAGTGCTCAACACGTACACAACCTTCAAAGTGGTGAGGAGGGAGTGCATCTTCTTTTTCCATCTACGGAAATCGTTCCCTTGAAACTTGTCCAATTTGTTGAACTTGGATGTCATCTCTTCCACGGTACTCATGATTATCACAAAGAAAATAGCAATTCGATTGTTGGGGTGTATCACGTAGGGGGTGATAATCGAGTACTTGGATTGCTTAAGGATCATGTAAGTTCACTTTCCGAATTGATATTTCTCCCCTATGCCTAGGTTACAAGAAATTCAATCTAGGATCATCCTTAAGGACACTCTAGAACTTAGGCACAAGAACTAGGGCCAAACTAGTCGCGTATATGGATTGTTATCTTTAATTTGAGTGCCAAAGTGTTGAAGATATGTTGGATGTGTTTCCTCCTGCTCCTCTGTACGAAATATGGTGATATATATCCATATTCACTGTCCTAGGCAGTTGCAACACGTTTAAGAATAACCGCAGCATTTTTTTGGGAAACTGCTGAAAACTGCCTAACCGTTCTAGAACTTGGTCTAGAACCACAGAGCTGGTCTACTGAAAGTTATACCTCGAGTTCTACCTCGAGTTCCACTAACGTAGACACTTTGGAATTAAACTAGTTCTTATGTACAAGTGTGCACTCCACACCTACTAACTTGTATTAGATCATAGTTCTAATTCCCATTGGCACTCATGTCATTTCCAATTACACAAAACGGCCGGTGACACTAAAATCACCAACATGGACAAAATACAAAAAATGAAAACTAAAAGTTAAAGCATCAACTTAAAGAAAACGGGTATGTATTTACTAAATAAATTATTTTGAGTTGTTAAAGGTTTCCCAAGAACAACTCCGCATAATGGACTAAACGTTGTGTGACTGGATGACATTAAGGAAGAAGGTTACATGTTCAAATTTCATCCACTTAAAGATGTTGGGAGGTAACGTTGATCAACTAACTAAAAAATCCGCATAATGGAATCCTAACCCGATGAGATGCATTCTTTTTGGAAATTTATTAATGACTTCGAGTTAATGTTGACCACTTCGTTAAATATGGATTATGTCTGTAGATGCGTGCAATTAGAAATCATTAGTGCTTGTTGAAAAGTCTGTAAAATTTTTCAAAAATTTTATAATTTTGAGGGAGGTAAAGAAGTTCACCCTTACCCCTTTGCCTTTTCTAAAGAAGTCGGCTTAATAATATCCTTATAGGTAAATGACCTTTGCCTGAATCTAGTGGCAATCATGACCTTTGCGTGTATCCAGTGGCGGAGGCAGAGATTTTTCGAGGGGGAGCGTACCAAAGGCTAAGAATTATTGGGTAATTGCTCAAAATATAATAAAAACAATAAAAGTGTAATGCGTTAGTACAAATTAGTTCATTACATATTGCTTGACTCGTATCTATAATCTGAGTAGATCAATCATACGAGTTTTAATTTACTCAAAATGTTGTATAATAAATTCATGTTGGAAAAATACGACTCCCCGTCTTTTCCAGGATCATGAGCTTATTAGACTCGTGTACACTTATCTAGTTATCTACACACTCATAATACAAAGACTCAATATGACAATATCACTTTCTATTACCCGCACTCACTATTTGTATCTAAGAATATTTCACTCTACCTAATTCGATCACATACACTTCATCAAACAATATCTTTGAGTCTTCTTCTTTCAGAAAAAGGCTCTCACTTTCCTCTCTCAAGGAGACTCACTTTCAATCACTCAAGAGATCTCCTCAAGGTTCTCATAGAAATAGGAAACTTCTCTATACTAATCTCATCAAAGCTTCTGTACAATTTTATGTATACACCACTTCACAATTTTTCAAAATGTTCTAAAGGCTTTCACACAATTTTAGTGAGTTCCACACTTCTCTCGAAAACCTCACATTGTTATTCTAGAACATTCAATACTTCTCTACAGACATATAGAGAATCATATATATCTCTATAAATTATAAAATTCTCATGAATTTCTCCGGCCACTAAGGAGGGAATCCATTATAGCCTCGAGAATATTTTGATCTTTTCGTTGCAAGAAATGTGACCACATATTCATCAAACTCGATACTTTCTTGCTTAATATAACCACGAAAAGCAACTTGTGGGCATTATCTAAAACAATGCACACTTGCATTCAAATAAGTGTGGTATGGTGCAGTCAATACTTGTAATCCTAGAGACTAGGGATGGACTCGGGCCGGGGTAACCGAACCGGAACCGGCCCGAACCGGCACTGTTCCGGCCCGGACCGGCCCGGTCCACGGTTCTGTGACCGATTCAGGCCACCCGACCCGGCACTGTAGAGAGGCGGTTCCCGGGCCTTGCACTGTAGAGGGACGGTTACCGGGCCAATTTTTTCACATTTTTTAAAAGGTAAATGTGTTGGGCTTGATGTTTTGGAGGGGTGTGGGGTGTGTGGGGGGGGGGGGGGAGTAATTAGAAAAAAAATAGGGTGAACCGGTCTGACCTGGGCTCGGAGCTACCCAGGCCGGTTTCCGAGCCTCACTTCTCCAAAAAAAAGCCCGGTCGGAACCGGATCGAGGCCCGGCCTGGCCCGAGGCCATGCCTACTAGAGACACATACATTTCCTGAAAGACTTTGTCTTTTAATTTAACATGTAATCTAAAATTAATCTTAATTGATATTGATTTTTGAAAAGAAGGGAGGGATTAAATACTCCGTATATTATAAGTAGTCTGTAGTAGTAATTTTTTTGGCCGATGTGGGGCGCTTGCCTCCTCATGCCCCTCCCTAGCTCCTCCGCTGCGTGAATCAATAAATAAATGGAAAAAGTCATAAAAATTTTACTTCAACCGTTTCCAACCATTAATTACTAAAGGAGCTTGGTGAGTCTTTCTTTAAAAAAAATGCGCATTTTTATAAATAGAAAAAAAAAGGTGAAATATTGTGCAGTAGAGAGAGTTAAGGGGGTGGTTGGTGTTTCAGTCTGAATTGTGTGTTTCCCTGGCCAGCTGCCGCATTAACGGCTATATTTACAGCAAGGTGTGCAGGCACGTGACACCAACTCAAGCAAGCCAGCTCCCGCCGTTACGTGGCTGCTGGCCCCCGCAATCCCCGATCCCTCCCACACATAAAAAGTCAAAAGAGCATCATAACTGTCCTGTTCCACACGCCGCGCGGCTTGCTTTTCCATTTAAATTAAAACCTCCAGACAAAATAGAATAAATGCAATTTGGAACAACATTCAACGGTCAAATTGAAAACTAATACTACAGTAGCACTCTTTTGTCGCATTTTTTTGGCTTCTTCTGGCACTACTTTGCGAATGCAGTTCAGGCGGTGGGTGAAGGTTGGCAGGCGGTAGGATTGCCTGATGAATGGATGTCTGGTTCATGCCGGCAACCTTCAAGCATGAACACGACGTCCGTCATGGTGGGCCGGCCTTGTGGATCCGGCGCCGTGCAAAGCAATCCCACTTTTATCCCCAACAAGAATTCCTCCCATTCAGATGATTCAGGATCCAACTCCAACAACCCCGGTTCTAGAAGCTCCGAAATTTGGCCTCGCTGCAATTGCGTCTTCACCCAGTTCACAATATCCTCATTCTCCATGAACATCACCGGCCTTTTCCCGGTAAGAAGCTCAAGCAACACAATCCCATAGCTATACACGTCTGATTCTCGTGTGGCCTCACCCGTTAGTGCCGTTTCAGGTGATACATAGCCTAGTGTCCCACCACCCCCAGTTGATGTTGATGGGATGACTGATGGCGCGGCTACTGTCAGCTTGTCTAGACCGAAATCCGAAAGATGGGCTTCAAAGTCCGCATCAAACAACACGTTTTGTGGCTTGACGTCCCCGTGGACGATGGATGATGTCGCATGAAGGAAAGCAAGACCGCGGGCAATCCCTAGCGCAATGAGGTGGCGCATCGGCCAATTGAGGATGTGACCATCTTGGTGGGACGCCTCCTGGAGGAGCGTTGCAAGGTTTCCGTTCGGCATGTAGTCATACACAAGGAGCCTGAGGTCATCAGGCGGGCCTGCATAGTACCCGCGGAGAACTGTGAGGTTCCTATGCCTCACCCGCCCCAGTGCCTCTGCCTCTTTCCTGAATGTGTTTTCATCGGGCCGAGGGCCATTTGGAGGAAGCCGACGGACTGAGAGCACCGTCCCATCATCATAGCACGCTTTGAAAACCACGCCAGGCCCTGTCCTGCTCAGCACATGCTCCTCGTCAAACTGACCTGTCGCCTCGACGGTCTCGGCCAATGTGATCCGGTCATTGAACATCACAAGCTTTGGCCCACTCTCGCTGCTGAGGCGTGCACAGCTAACCCTCGCGGGACCTGGCTTCTCCCCACCTGCGGCTTCCTTCAGAGTGACCTTATTGCGCCACCTCATTGAGGCATAGATGTAGAAGCAACAGCATGATGCTAGGAGAAGAGCTCCAATTGCACCTATTGCTATAAACATAACCAGACTATTATTATTCCGTTTGCGATCACTGCCCACTTCACATTTACTGGCCAAGGGTTTACCACACAAACCTCGATTTCCCCTGTAATAGGAAGGATTCGTAAAACGGGAGGCTAAAACAGAAGGAATCTCTCCCGTCAAGTTGTTATTCGAGAGATCAATGATCATTAAGTTGGACAAGCTGGACAGTGAGTCCGGTATGTGGCCTGAAAGATGGTTTGAGTCCAGAACTAGCGAAGTAAGGGATGAACAACTCGAGATGTTTAATGGGATTTCACCTGTTAGGTTGTTCCGGCCCAAATCAAGGACCTTCAAATGCAAGAGATGAGAAAGATCTGTGGGGATTTTTCCAGTCAACAAATTCAAATGCAAGTCAAGAACTTCAAGAACAGGACAATTACCCAACTCAGGAGGGATTGAACCAGACACTTTATTGTTAGACAATGAAAGAACGAGTAATGACTTCAAGAAACCAAAAGTGGGGGGAATGGGACCATAGAATGAATTACTAGATAGGTTCAAATACTCCAGACCCAATAAGCTACTGAAACCTTCAGGAACTTCACCAGATAAACTGTTCTCTTGCAATGCAATCACTTGAAGACTAGGCAGACCATAAAGATCAAACGGCAGTTCTCCAGATAAACGTTGTCTACTCAAATCAAGAACTTTTAACTTGTAAAGACTGCCAATACTTGCAGGAATTCTATCAGAAAACCCACTGCCACTCAAGTTCAGCACAGATAGCTCTTGTAGGTTTCCGAAGCTCACAGGAATACTTCCAGAGAATTTATTTGAACTGAGGTCCAGTGTGCTTAAATTGCTTAATCTCATTAACTCCTCGGGCAACCTTCCAGAGAGGGCATTACCTCCCAAGTCCAGATTCACTAGATGACTAAGATTACCAAAACTTGAAGGAATTAAGCCATAGAACTTATTTCTACCAAGAGACAAGCTTGTTAAGTTTCTTAGCTGCCCTAAGAATGCAGGAATGTTTCCGGTCAAGTGATTTCCTCCCAGATCCAGGATCTTCAGACTAATGCAATGTGTGATCTCAACAGGAATGACACCCTCAAACGAGTTATTAGCCATTCTTAATTCCTCCAGCAGAGGAAAACTCTCTCCAATGGAACCAGGGATAGTACCGTAGAAAGAGTTGCCAGAAATATCTATGGAAGTTAATGCAGAACTGTTTGTCAAAAACACGGGGAAATTGCTGTGAATGAGATTCTGTTGAATATCCAAAATTCGTAAAGCAGATAAACATGGAAAAGATTCGGGTGGTACAATATCCGTGAAGGCATTAAACCCTAACTGGACGACCTGAATGGATGGAGGATATACCGAAACACTGCAGAACATGGAAATTGGTAACAAACCGGAGAGGTTATTGTGCGTTAGTGATATCACCTGAAGCTTCGGAAGAGCAGCAATGGCAGCCGGAATGACACCGCTGATTTCATTTCCTTGGGCGTTCAGATTGACCAGTGACGAACAGTTGGCGATTGCAGACGGAAGAGTCCCTTTCAAATTGTTGTACGAAAGTCCTAGGTACTGAAGTTGTTGGAGCTGACCTAAGCCCACCGGAATCTCGCCTGAAAGTCGATTCGCAGAGAGGTTAAGGAACTGGAGATGAGAGAGGCTTGAAATGTTTCTGGGTATCTCTCCGGAGAAGGAGTTCGCTGAAAGATCGAAGAAGATGACACCCTGCGGGAGGTCCACCGGAATTCCGCCAGAGAGCTTGTTGTCGGCGACATTGAAAATTTTCAGGCCGGCGAGCCTCGAAATTTCAGGCGGCAGGGGCCCGGAGAAGGAGTTGGAGTGCAGCGCAACAGAATGTAGGAGAGCACATTTGGAAATTGAGGAAGGGATAGTGCCGTTGAAGGAATTTGAACTGAGACTGAGCTTCCGTAGAAAGGGAAGGCCCGAAATTTGGGGCGTGAGTGGACCACTGAGTTGCCGCCGGGGAAGGATGAGTTTACTGACACGGCGGTCATTGTCACAAAAAACGCCGCTCCAGTCACAGGGAGCTGCGGGAGAAGAGAAGTCCCAGTCGTATAGGGAGCCAAGCGGGTCGTGAAGAGTGAGCTTGAAAGAGTGAAGTGCCTGGATCTCGGCTAGGTTTTCGGCGCTGCGATTGGCGGCGGCGCACGCTGATACAAGGACGGTGAAGAGAAGCAGCGATGGAGAAATTGAAGAAGGCATTGATGGGAATGGGATCATTTGAAGATGAGCTAGTGCATTGCTGCAGGTGATAATAGGGAAGAATATCAGAAAGAACCCGAAGAAGAAAGAGATACTCCACTCCGTATGTATGTATGAACACACAGAGAATGGATATGTTTCTCAGTCCTGAGGTGAGATTAGAATCTGAGGAAGAAAATGGTAAAGTAATGTTGCGGACTTTTAAGCTGTTATTATATGAGTCGAATCATGGGGCCCCACCCTCCTCCATAAAACACTTTTTTATATTCTGCTTTTTGTCCGATCGTTTTAAGACCGAACCATTAACTTTCACTGCCATGACACAAACATGCGATCGAGGTGTGAGATTTTATTGAAGAAAGAATAGAATGAATGAGATTCAAATGTGTAGGTGAAAACATTTCAATTATGAATTGTCTAACAACTTGTTGAAAATAGAACCAATCAATCAATTTAGTTACATCAATCAATAGAATACGTCGATTCCATCAATTTCAGTGTGAGCTATCAATATGATATTCCTATTTTTAAAGGTCATACTTCTTTTAATTCTATTTAGATAATTTTCTCTTGTTATTTGAGTCTTGATGCACTATTTTTAAAGCGTAACTCAATACATCTATTTTCTTATTAATCCCCCTTAACGAGCTTGTTTAGTGAGCTTGTTAACATGCTCGCTAATGAGCATGTTAATGATTTATCTACATCATATGCATAGTCAAGTCATTCTCCTTGAACATGTTTAGTCAGCATGCAGATGATTTGATTAATTTTATAACAATAGTTAATAGGTCCCATCATATTCAACTAGCACACATTAATTCTCATAATATACCTTGTCCTTCAAATTCATTTCCAAATATGGTGTTGCTCCTGGATGCATTCAAAATATAAAAGTGCATATCTTGCTAAAGCCAACAATCACAATTCATCATCATATGGTTACGCCCATACGTGAATACAAGTATGACAGTGTGGCACCTCTGAAAAATATAAGTTACAGTATAATGTATACTTATAAATATTACTATCTCCGCCCCTAATATTAGAACAGAAGAGAGTGATGTGGTTTTAAAAAAGTAGAATTATATGATTGGTAATGAGACAATAATAGGGAGACATACAAAAATGAAAAATTGGACAATTATAGGGGACAGAGGGAGTAAATAATAATAATAATAATAATAATAATAATAATAATAATCATAATATAGTGTATAATTTGCAAATGTATATAATACAAATGTTAATAAACAAAGTCATGGTAATAGTACCAAAACTTAACGCTCACATTGAAATTTCAAAAATTAAACTAAAAAATAAAACTGAAGTGTTGGGTTACATTTAAATCTTTTGACAAGACTGGTTCAAGTTAAGGTTCATCAATCGACATACTAATAAACTCAAGCACTCCAATATCAAAAGTCTCATGCACATCAAATCGTTTATGAAATCAGGGCCATAAGATTGGATACGCGTACTTGTCCATGAATACGTATATCAAAAGTAATTATACTTTTTTTTAAATCCAATACTGTTATTAAATTATGGATATGTATGAGATACGCAGATACAACGTCATGTGAAGTATCAATGCACCATAGTTTATCATTACTAAATCATACAAAATAATCGGCCACAAAGTATATCATACAATAAAAAGATTTCAAAGCAAATTATTCAATTTAGAACTCGTTTAGTGACATTGAAATTGACAGAATCTACTAAGATTGGTGAAATTTCAATTGAAAAAGCTAAATTGATTGAATATGTTCAACAACAAAATTATATTTAGTACAATAAAGCAAAAAATCACAATAGCTAAAGTACACTTCATCAAGAAACTCAGTCAATTCGTCATAAACTAACGAAATTTTGGGCTTACTTTTTTATTTTAACTAGACGATCAAGTGTGCGAGATCACGCACAATTTACATGCACTATTGGCACACACAAGAATCAATATTTTATTTTTTAAAATATATCACTACAAAAAACAACGGAATTGACATGGATTTGGTACGGATCTTGGCACAAATTTGCCAAAAATCATAGAGGATTAGGCACGGATGCATCAAATCCGTGCCAAAATTCGTGGCAATGACGTTTTGTCGCCATCTATTTGGTAAGACGCCGTGCCAAAAATATATTATGATCCAGCCAAACTCAACCAATTCGTGTCAAGTATGTGCCAATATCGTTGTTCGTTTCATAGTGTATATATGTGCACGTACAAATACTTTTAATATATAAGTACATTTTATTATTTAACTACGTACTAGTATTTCACATGTGCGTTGCACGGGATGTAATATGCATGTATTATAAATACTAATTAAAGCATTTACAAATCATATAATTATCTCAAATAAATATTAGAAATTTAATAAGCACACAAGTTACAAATTATTAAAGGCCTTGTAGGCAAAAGGTTTTGTAAGTTTTTTTAATTCTTTCTTCATCACATTTGTTCGTGTTCATGGGAAAATAGGACTAAATCAGACCAATCCCTGATTTTTTATTGATTTTGGTTCCGGTCTGATTCAAACCCCGTAATATTCCCGTCCGAAGAGGTTGGACGAGAATTAAAATATTATATGAAGTATAGTATTAATGTTTTAAATATGATTATATTTAGTATCTCTTACATTAATATTATAGAATATGGATTATCTTCTTGATGACATTAATTAAAGGTGTAATTGCACTGTCGTAATTACTTTCATTTTATTTAAGTTTTAAATATTTATTAAATAATTAATGAATGAGGTAAAATGGGAGGGTATATTAGACTTCTAAATTATAACATCAAAAAACATTGTGAAAAGTCTTCTCAGAGTTGCTTTTTCGTTTTTGACTTTTTCGTATCAAATAGCCAAATAAAAAAGTTATTTACTAAACATCTATAATAGTTGTTTGACAGAGTTAAACAATCAAAGTCACTCGAAAAACACTATCACTTATCAAATTTCTATAAAATATTGATAAAATATACTATCTTGGTTCTTTAATAGTTGCAACAGTTTGACTTTCATGTTTGTCAACGCACAACTTTGACTGTATTATATTTAATTACGTATTAGTAAAAATTATAAAAAGTTAATATTTAGAAAATTAACATGAATAGTGATGGAGTATATGGCCCAGGGACCCCCGGCCCATAGACTCCTACTATCCTAATAAAAGCCCAAGAGGCCTAGGAAGCACACCAGACCCAAATCACAGCGCCCCGGGTACCAAGGAACCCATGGAGCACACAGGGGTGCCTTCGGCCCCCTGGCCGAAGGCTCCAAATTCTCACAGAAAGGGTATTTTAAGCATACAAAGCTACTGGGAGAAAATGGCGAAAATCAGTAGCCCTCGGCACCTGGAGCCCTCAGCTTTAAGGGGCCTTCGACAAGAAGAGCCCTCGGCTAATCATCTACAGCCGAGGGTACCTTCCTCGACAAGAAAATCCTCTCCACATGAGCCTGGAACGCCGTACCAAGTACAACGTCACATCCAACCGCCGCATTAAATGCGGCCACATGCGAATGCCAGTGACACCCGGTTGATGTGACCCCCCGACCGTTGGATGCTTGACACGTGTCCCCGTCTCGCATTTATTGCTACTATAAATAGCACCTCATTTCCCCTTTGTAAACCATATTCTGAATACGCTGAATTCACACTGAATACATATTCTCTCTCTTACTTATTTGCTCTGACTTCTCTCTAGTTATCCTCCGCAATAACCCCTCGGATAAGCTACCCCCGGGTACACTTATCCATCATTTGGTGCTCTCGTTGAGAGGTCGAACAATCAAGTAAGAAAATCTCCCCCTTCAGCTAGAAAACACCTACTAAAATGGGAAGAATCACCCGTGCTCAGTCCAAGAACCTTGAGGACAACAACCTGGCCCTCGGTGAAGTCAACGCCCCCAGAGCCTCTAACAAGGCTCCCGAGGGCGGGGTCATCACCGAGTTGGAACAGGCTGCTATTGACCTGCGCCTTCAGCTCCAACAAAACGCTCATGATGCCCGCCTCGGCATCGAAACCCGAAGGATGGACTGGAGCGAAAATCAAGTGAGCCCTCCGGTTGTCACTATCGACGTACAATCGGCATTCTCTGCCTTCATCCAGACACTCACTCAAAACCGAGGTGCCTTCGGCACTCTGGTACCCCTTCAACCGCAGGTCGGGGAGAACGTTGTTCTTCTCCCTCGACCACCCCCCTTCGTGAACCCTACCCCTCGGGTGGGGAACCACGAAGGGGTCGTGGCTCAAGACACCGCTTCCCAAGAGGTCCAATCCTGGGACCAATGCGGCGCGAACAAAGAAAGGCCTCAGACCTCAGCCCTCGAGAGGCTTGGAGGGGCGCAAGACCATCGAGGGGTCCAAGACCGCCGAGGGGTCCAAGACCGCCGAGGGGTCCAAGACCGCCTCGGTGTGAAGGCGTCCCAAGGGCCCCAAGAGAGTGGGGGATCCGTCTCAAGAGCAGACGAGAGGCGTCCCCATCAGGACAAAGGCAAGGCACCACTTCATGCCGACGACGCAAGGCACCAAATCAATCAGGCCCACTCGGCCTGTGTTCGTTCGCAGGGGGCGGAGGCCCTCCCGAAGGATCCCAGGGACGAAATCATTGCGGCCCTCCAGCACCGGCTCAATGAGATGGAGGCCCATCAGGCACATACCACCGCCACCACCCCTAGGCGGATCCCAAATATGAGGCCATGTTGGCCAAAATGGACGAAATGCAGAAGAAAATAGCCGAAGGCTCCGGGGAACCCGTCATCCAACTCCGGACTAGGACGCCATTTACCCCAAGGGTATTGGCGGCCCGAATTACGGAAAAATACCAGGGGCAGCCCATCAGGCCCTATGAAGGAAAGACGGACCCTCAGGAACATTACAACCACTACCAAAACAGCATGATGATGGTGGGGGCATCGGACGAATATTTGTACCATTGGTTCCTTTCCACCTTAGAGGGACCAACGTACGAATGGTTCAACCGATTGCCCGAAGGCTGCATCGATTCATGGCAAGAACTCGCCCAATGATTCTTGACGCAATTTGCAGGAAGGCACCGGTCAAGAAAACATTTCTCCCACTTGCTGACAGTGAGACAAAGGAAGGAGGAGACCCTTCGAGACTTCTTGGAACGTTGGAGGACGGAGGTTGATAAAGTTGATGGCGCTAACGATGGGACCCTCC